CTGGGGTTACGTCCACAGTATTCACTACCTGCTGTTGACTCTCCTGAAGTATTACAACATCAGTAAAACTGTCTACTTTGTTGTTCGGTAATACAGGCATAGTTTACTCGAAAATGTACCAATGCTCCACAGGCGGAACATATGCTTTGCTCTTCCCTTCCAGGAAGATACCCTGGCAGAGACATCGGTAGCATAGCTTGTAGCATATAAACCATAGAAGTCTGGGATAGCACTATCTATCCACTGAATACTAGTGTGGTTGCATCACAATGCCAGTACGTGTAGGTGGTTGGTTGTTCTTTGGCTGGGTTAAAACCTGGTGTGATATAAGTGCCTGAATAGGATGGTCTTTCAGAAGTAAACTCACAGCAGCTATTGCTACTGACTTCTTCTTCTTCTTTTGCGTCTTGTTCAAAGTTACCACTTTGTACTGTATTGCAACAGAATCTGCTTCACCAAGGTTAAGAAAGCCTTTCCCACTCAGGTGATACTGCATTGTCTCGCTGGATAGCCCTTCCATGAACTTGTCAATGAGAATATTCTTACAACCTGTTGAGGTCATTGCAGGGTAAGATTTATCATGCAGTTGGCACAGATCATCCGTGTAAGTGGTCAAGCTTTGAACAGCATCCCTCTTCTGAGTCCTGAACTTGACCAGAATAATTGCTCTGTTTTCCACTAAGTCAAACCTCCAGTGCAACTTGGTAAGGACTGCTTCTCAGTTTCATAGTAAATCATTATGCAAGTGCTCAATAAAGTCTGAAACCACACCATCTAGAATCAGAACCAGGCATTGTACAGACTGCTTAGAGTCCAGTCATTCTAGGCATTTACTTGCTTGAAATGCTTTAAATTTTCTTTTGCTGTGCCTTTCAAAGTTGATGGAGTGATCTACTTTGCCACACCCGTACAAAAATCATGATAATGTCCAAACACTTTCCTTCCCAATTTTCTGACCAAGGTGTTATCAATATCATTGGCACAGTATGATAGGCATGTTCAGGAACTTCAACCCTTGTGCAAGTAGTTGGACCATGGCCCAAGGTGACAGAGCAACGAGTTGTATGACCACAGACTCCACTGTGATCCATGGTCACCTCTGCAGTACACCCAGTATGCCTCTCAGTTTGGAGAGGCTAACCATTTCTCCATGGTGAGTTCTTCATCAACTGTTGTCCAATGTCTCACATGCCAGTGAGATTGACCTAGTTGACAAAACTCATTCATCAATGGTGCCTCCAGTCTCTCTCTGATATTCCAGGAAGCTTTGATCAGAGCTGGAGTTGAATTACTCTAGCTGGCATTAGTCTAAGGGTTCTAAACAAACTGCTCCACTCTGTCTCAGATTCACCAGATGCTACACCACTGCAACAATCCTCATCCCATGCTTCCCTAGCACCAACGCCAATTCTCAGAGGAGAACTAGATCAACCATTCTGGGTGCAACAAATTCTGGTTGTTCTCCTTCCAGAGTCTGTGGCAGGAACAAGAAAGAAGTTTTGGACCTTCTCAGCATTTACAAAAGCTCACAATCCAAGAGAAGACTTCTCCTAGACCCGATAAGTCTCTTGAATAACAATCTTTCCTCAGCAAACAATCCTTTCTCTTGTTCATGTGTCATATGAGCTGTACACATTTCAGCAGCTAGTTGCAAACTCTGCAATAACAATATCCTTTGGACACAGCATCAGACTTTTCTCATATCATTCCATTCTGTAGTTTATCCAGTTGAAACTGAATTAACGTTGCGCTATTTTGGATAAATCCGAGACATGGTCAAGATATTTGTTAAAGAGTAATACTAAACCTTTTACTGAGTTGATGTAAAATATAAATAACGATTTGGACACAAAAAATAAAACAAAATTCACAATCTTTATTAGAACACTAAACACAGACATGGTATGTGTACTTGCTTAAATAAACATGTCAAATCATTACTCTGCGTGGATACTCTCACTTGTCTATGATACAGGATCTTGTTGAGAACGTATTGACTCCATATGATGTTCTGTAAAGATCGACCAACCAAATACAAGGTACTGTGGTGCACAAGAAACCTCGTATTTACTCAATACGACTAGAGCTATGTTCGTGATTGGTCATTTTCATTACAACATAGGTGGGACCACAACCTTTAAATATCACCTGAACAACTGTTGAAAGATACTGCCAACGACGTCCTTACACACAGGATAGTGGCAGGTATTATATGATTCAAGGACAAAAGCAATTTGAGAACGAAGTCAACTTAACAGTTTTTTTCCCACATGTTAGATGAAACTTGCATATATATACAAAGCAAAGAATAAATTCATTATAAACACTATATTATTACAAGACACAGAAATGTATGGTATATATAACATTATATCGCCCCCACGGCTGAAAGGACGAGCATGTTTGGTGGGACGGGGATTCGAACTCGCGACCCCCAGATTGCGAGACGAGCGCCCTAACCGCCGGTACATTCCGGACCCAGTAGATAGGAAACATATGATATGTCTCCAATTAATAACACCATGTAAAAAGTGTAAGACTAAATGATTATTCATGTATAATTTTGTTGTAAGTTTCTGTGGAATAACCTTTTTTTTGCTTCACATAAAAAAAACAGATTCGTTTTTTCTATAACCGCCTGTTTTTTTTGTTTGTTTTTTCACTGGTCGTTATTATCACTTTGCTCGTTCAGTAGCACATATTCAAACAACGTGGTTTGATCCTCTACTTATCTGTGTTTTGTAATATACATCTGGAAAAAAGTTAAGCACCCCCGTGTTTTTTTCAAGTGATTCAGATTC